ACAAGAATACGCTGATTTCGATGAATTGCATGAGTGATCTGAACTCAAGTTCCGTCCTAGAGGTAATAACGAGACGCCTACCTACTCGACTTCAAAGGAAGTGGGTGAAGATAAGCTCTCGTATAGAGGATGAAGGTATCGAGCCAAAGTTCGATGATATTCTGAAACTGGAGAAGAAAGTATCAATCAAGCTATGAGCAAGTTTGCCAGCATATTGCATCCCACCCTTATAATAGAGCAGTCTGAGAGCAAACCGCAATCATTGATGACGAAAGGGTCTCAGAGAAGTGGATATCGAGAAGGCTTTATGGTGTCTAGAAGTCCATATAAACCTAATGAGTGTGACAGTTTTCGTGGGACATCCCCAACAGATAGGTTACAATTTGCGAGACAAAAACGGTTGTGTTTTACACGTTTGCAAGAAGTTCATACAAAGGCGAACTCTGAATCAGTGAGCAAGTTTAGTGGTAAGCTAAATGTGAAATCAGCGTCATCAAGGTCTGGCTCCGAATTGTGTAACGATAATGGTGCGGTAAAGAAGCCTGTAGTTGCAATTGGGAAGCCATTGTTGAATGGAGTGTCACAGATGACACCACAGTTTGTGCAGGAGAAGAGAGTTACAGTTTCAGAGTCCAGTTCTGACTCCACAAGTTTACAAGGTATTACTAGTCAGAGTAAGGGTATAAAACCTATAAGGATTTGTGAGGAAGAAACCAAATTGTCTACTGCTGTTATTAAGGAGTCTGAAAATGATGAAATTGACGGTAAAGCGAATATTCGTGATAATGATCGTGATAGTGCACATTTGTCTTTGGTTGATCATGATGAGATGAGAGGAATGCCTACTTCTACTGAGTTGAACAAAGGTTCTGTACTACTTGAACGGGAAGTAGAATTAAAGGCAGATGCAGTTGTGGAAGGTATGGATATTTGTGAGACCGCCACTGTAAATGATCAGCGTGTACCCCACATATCGACAGATGTTAATGCTAAACTGGAGCGAATCAATAAAGATAGCAGTGGCGGTTATCTTGTGGTTAGACAAACTTGTGAAGGTCGAACAACAACAACAGCTTCTGATCCACCGCTAAGTTCATCAGCTGGTATCACTCAGTCGTCATTGGTGTTGTCATCCACATTGAAGGTGACGTCCGTGAACTCAAATGACTTGTGATATGACTATGCTAGTATCGGTCCGTTTGAAAGAACGAAAGTCAGTGGTCAGTTTAGTGGCGATAAGCGAAGTGTGTACGATAGGGTAATTGTTAAATTGACTTGCATGAATAAAGGTATTTCAAGTTCCAAGTTACTATTTGAATGTTATTATCTTTGGTGTAAATTACTCTGTTTCTATACTTGGTTGATGAGGTATGTCGTGTGTTTGTTAGTCATCTATATTCTACGATACAATGACATGGGCGTGTTACCGTTCAGATTTGAGGATATAGCTGATAGAAGGAAGTCAGCAAATGAACTCTGCGACGAATTTCCAACCTAGGGCGTCAACCTGAGAAGAGTTGTAGGCGTACTGGTGTAAGTCCTACCATTCTTCAAAGGGTAGCGCATCAATTAGCAGCACAACGTTCTTGGTGTGTGATTTTGTACATATGTTCATGTTGTATATACTGAATTGATATCATCTGTCATCTAGCTGTTGGTAATTCTGTTTGTGTCCGGACGTCTTCCACTTGGATCATCAACCTGAGAAGGAATGTAGGCGTACTGCTGTAAGTCCTAAAGTTCTTCAAGGGTAGCCCGTCAAGGCAGAATCCACAACATTTGATGTATTGATTGTCAACACGTCTGTGTTAAATAATTGAATGGGTTTCAATTGATGTAATTGTTGGTTAGTCTTGATTGTGTCCGGACATTCTAAAACTTACAATCGTCTACGTGAGATGGGTTGTAGGCATACTGGTGTAAGTCCTGCAATTCTTCAAAGGAATTCCCCCAAGACATGATCTGCAAGTTTGTGTGTACTGTTTGTATATATGTGCGGTGTGTCATATCAATTGGTGTTTTTTGGATTCATTGTGTTTACTCGTTGTTTTCGTACCTATTTGTTATTGCGTAATTTTGTTAAAATTGTCGTCGTGCTTACTTCTGAAGTTGTTTCTAGTCTTCTACATCCGTGAATGAATTGATTAATGTTAAAGAGAGCAGGTGGGTCGTATATGCCGGGGAGGCTGGTGCTGAGAATGACATGCACACGGGGATAAAGAATAGCTGTGTAATCGATGGTTTAGAATGAATGTTTCTATTTTGGGCTATGGTCTCACACGCCTGGGAGCAAGAGTGTAGACAACTGAGGCTTTCATACGTCACCGTTACTAGAACTGAGGCAGAATGAGTGACAAGCGATTTCAGTGGTAATTGGTAGTGAGTAGATTAGTGGATGTGAGTAGAGTATGATGAGGTGCCGTTATGGTCACGTTGCATTCTGCAAGAGTCATTCTAGCAAGTGGCGATTGTGTTACAAGATGCCGAGAGGATGCCTTTTTCTGGAAGGCGCAGGTCGTCATTGATGTGTGAGATTGTGCTGTGGGTATGCTTGTGGTGTTTTGGCTTTTCTGTTTGTTTTCTATTTGAGCTCTGTCCGTGCTAACGAGTTTCTCGCAATGGCGTCCAGGTCAGCATGTATTGGTCGTGATGGGAAAAGGGATAGATCCCTTTTTTGCCTGGGAGTGTCAGTGTAGTTGAAGATTGAACGATCAATTCGTGGTTGTTTTCTCAAATGCAACTTCCCCAGTTTTTCGCGGGGACATCAATACACCAGTCATCGCCTCATCGATAGCTGTTCAGAAAGCAAGTACAAAGCCATCAGAAGCAATATTGTGATTTATTATTGTAATATTTGTTCATAGACCTTAGTTGTATATTGGCTATATGTTGGTGTTACAATAAATAATTCTCGAGTCGCCAAACTGGGTTCTGGTTTTTGCGTCCGTTCGTACTAAGCGTTTCTGAGAAGCTTCAAGGAACAGCGTGAGTCCCAGCGTAGCAAGAGCTGGGCATTAACGGTTTACGTGACGACGCTGACAACTCACTTCGCGTGGCTTAGTAAATATGTGATATGAATTCCATTCCACTCTACCACAGTGCACAAGTTTTATTCTTATATCAATGTGATATGAAACCCTACATACTCAAGTGAGATATTGAGACCTTTCAAAATAAGGCAGTTTTTTCTCAATCTTGAACATGTTTCTCTATACAAATGCAATCCTGATATTCAATAAGTGCATTCCATGTAGAGCATGAATTTAGTGAAAATGATTTTCTCGTTTCTCTAAAATACGCAAAAAATTATTTCACTGCCATTTTAAGTGTAGGATGGCGGCTTATATTGGTATCTGTTGAAACTCACACCAGTTTAAATAACATGTTTCAGAAATGGCTGGTAGAAATAATGAAGTACAGCGAAATAACCGTTCGAAATACAATTTTTGACACGTATTTAGGGTCTGAATTCACCTACAGACATTTTGTTTTCTTTATCAGTGCTGACGATACAGAGTCTAGACCTCAATATTGTTAAAACTCAGGTGATTTAACGTAAAACTAATGTTTCTGAAATGTAGGATAAATAATGAAATCGCACATGGGTAACAATACGAAGTTAACTATCCTTCAAGGGAGGACAAAGGCATACCAAACATTATTGGTGTGTTGTACAGAACAGTTAGTGAATTACATTTACGAACATTTAAGAAATAATATATAATACTCATCCAAGGCCAACTCTCTATTATGGGAGTTTATATTAAAACATCCAACAATCACGTGAAAATCACGAGGGTCAATGTCATTTCATACAGATCAGTGTAATACCATAAAGTCTGTCTGTCAGAATTAACAAATATATTGTTGTTAAACTGAGATGAGTATTTACCAAAGCGATGATCGCGATCCAGTAGCTACAGTTAACCAGCTGGTGTGCTAAATAGCGACAGTTCCGAAACCAGGGCCTTCAGATCAATGAAATCGTCAAACCATTGAGAGTCACCTGGAGAAAACCAGCCACACTTCAGATGTGAATTATTAACTACTAGAGGAACTCTCAGGGATGGTATCTGCATAGAGGTACATAGAAATTATTTATTTTTGATTTACGTCATACGCATCAATACCAGACAAGTTGTAATTTTATATTCATGATATCATTAAAGGGTTGTAATGCTGCCTAACACCGTGCAGGCAACATCCCTGTATCGGTCTCTTGAGAAAGTGATCGAAATCTCTGACAATTCTGTCAAAATATGCAGTGACTGAAACTGCTGGCTGGCTAATACGCCATCAGGAAAATAATGATTAGTTGAACGAAATAACATTCTCTAACCATAAAGATTTTCTTTCGTATGATTATATGGTGAAATGATCCAATATCCAATATCCAATATCGTTTTTACGAGCTAGTATAAACCAATTTGATTTCTTTGTGCTCGCTTCTTGATTGTGAGGTATAGGTTCTTGATCTTCGGTAAACTTCTGCGTAGCTTGTCCCGCCACTCGACTGTCGTAGCTTTGGTTGACTCCAAAGGGAGTAGTGCTGGGATTAATTATATGTGGTTTGTAGTATGAGGTATGTTAAGACTGTTACTACTGTGATTGGAGTTGATCCTTTCGCCAGTTAGTCCTTCGGTATTGTCGACAAGAGAAAAGAGATAGTAATAATAATAATAATAATAATAGTAATAATAATAATAGATATAATTAGTGAAGCTATTCAGACTAAGAGACAGAAACGAAAATAGGAAACGTAACAACAGTCAGCTCATGAAGTTTGAAGAATAATATGTATATCAGTAATAGTAATAATAATAATAATAATAGTAATGATGGCTAACTGTAATAAAGTTCTGTATTCTCTTTGTAATAATTGTCAGAAAAGTGTCTTTTATGCAACTTAAAATATTTTGTTATGTTGAGAACTCAGAATCAAAGTATCACTAAACGATTGGAGCTATTGAAGGATTTGTCACCCGGTATTTGTTTGACTCCTTCAAAACTGTGTTCGTCAACCAACACACAATTCCAAAAAATCGCCCCTTTGCAGATGTGTACTTGGTGGCGTATCGTTGTTGCTTTTCTTTTGATAGTAAGCACTTATTTATGTGTTTAGTTTAATGTTATGGTAAATTCTGACAACAGTCGTGTCGCTCCTTTGCTGTAAAACTTTGGCGGTTGCTTGTGATTGATTTAGATCCAAAGATTTGGGTATTCTAAGTTTTGAAATATTCGTTTTATGTGAGATAAGTTTTGCATGTTTGCAACACGGTGGATTGTTTCTAACATATATAATCCGTAAGACCAAAATCTTATACTAAAAGCCTTAGCACCTGAAATAGTGACTAGTGCACATGCACGTGCAGATGTGCACGTCGTCATATAAGGTAAGCAAATGAGGGACATAGCTTCACATAGGAAATATGTATGTTATTAATCATGAGTTTTTATAGAAAAACATATATTTTAGATTGAGCGGAGTACAAAATCACATGTTTTAGAGCATCTGCAAACAAGAATGAGCAGCAGTCACAATCAAATCATATAAACATTCCATTTTAACAAACGACTGGAGCTTCTGTCGATCTAGGATTGACTTGACAGATATTTTCAGTCTTCCGACCTTTTTTCAGATCCCCATGATATTTCGGTGGTCTTAACATAATAGTCTTTAGTTCAGGCGGTGCTTCCTCACTTTATGTTAGTGACTCACGTGTTTTAATCCTACGTAGCTTATTGAGGTTCAGTCTGATAGGTGCTTGCAAAAGCCAAAGTACCATGGGTGTGGTTCATCACATGTGTAAAGATGAACATGGCAAACTATATACATTATTTATCCGGAAATTCAAGATGTCATTTTAAGGAATCATTTTAGCAGACAGTTTAAAGTTAACAGAATATAGAAACTATTTTGATTTGTTTTTGTTACTGTGGATTGCTTTTTACTGTGTAAACACTCACTCTCGCAAATCTCAATTACATACTTATTGTCAAGAGGTAAACCCAGATATTACCAAGGTGTCTTATAGAGAAGGAAGAATAAAAATTTTTGTCCTAAAAAGTATAGTGAAGATGAAAACAAAGGAAGGTGTTAGTGGGTGTGAGTCAGTGAACTAATGCGCGGTTAATCACGATGTTACCTGAGGACAGTAGATCAGCCTGTCGCTTATGTTATTGCGAATGGTGATTCTCTGTCAGTTAATAATTAACACCCTGTTTGTGATTTCTCAACTGTTCTATTGCTTTAACGCATTTTAGTTATTGTTTTTCACTCTACGACCAGTGATGCTGACATTATGGAACGAAGTTTTGAAAAAGGCTTGTAGTATCAACTGTTGTTAATTAGTCAAATGCATAGGAACTAACATTAATTTTCTCAAGTAAAAAGATAAAATGAGCAGGAAATCAATGAGATCTATTTTGTTCTAGTTAGTAACAGACGTGTACTTAATGAATGCGAAAGTCATTAGAATATGAGTTTGTCATGATTTCAGTATAAATTATAACTGATGCAGTGTAAACAGAATCATATATGGTATGTTTGAGTGATGTTTGTGTTATAGAGGTGTTCAGTTCATTTCACTCTAGAAGGTAATGGCTGTGTAATATGCATTAAAAACTAATAATGATTGTGTTCTCTCATGGTGCGGGTATTATTTACCAAAAGAGGCACGACTGCTTAATAGATGTCTTAGGGAATTACAGTCGAATATAAAGAGACTTCTTGTTTACGGAGTATTCCTTTTCCGCTTTGTCGTGTGTTGCTTGATAAATTTGTCGGGATAGTCATTTTCAATCAGAGTATCATATACAATGATTAATTTATCTTCATTCACTTCTTCTGAACATATAGCTCTAACTCTGTGGCTGAGGGTCTTTACTAAATATCTTTTGTACCGGAGAGGAGTAAAGCTTTGAAAATGTGCATATTGTCTTGTCCATGTACTTTTTCTGTGCAAATTTTTTTTTATGCTACCCTCTGGTCTTCCTGTAATTAGGACATCCAGGAGGGCAATTCTATTTTGCGATTCCTCTTCGCACGTGAATTTCATAGCAGAATGTACTTCATTGAATTGAGTTATTATTGTGTTCCTATCCGAATCATTATCACAAAGAATGAAGGTGTCATCCATATACCGGCAATAAAATGAGAACTTTCTAAGATTGTTTAAGGGTTCATCTTCCAGTTTACTTGGAAAGAAATCTGGCCAAATGGGACCCGATGGAGAGCCCATCTCCACCCCGTCCACTTATCTGTAAAGTGTGCCATCAAATTTGAAATTTACATTCATGGCACAGCTCAATAGCTATTCTTTAGGATTTCTGTTGGGATGCCAGTATTTATCGACTGGTTATACACTTGTTCACATATGTGGCTAATCGTTTCTACTATAGGTATATTTGTGAATGAAGATGTTATGTCCAAAGATATCATGCTTTTGTCCTTGATATTAATATCTTTGATTTTGTCTACGAATTCTAATATATTATAGAATTTAAATGCAATGCTTGAGTAGTAAAATGTTGTCTGAGAGACTCCATGGTCATATTTTACTTATATATTACTGAAGGTCCCGCAACTAAGATGCAGCTATCTGGTGCTAGTACTTATGTAAACTTATTTGAAAATCAATCCCTTTAGATTGTCAGGAGGTCATTTATTTATTGTAAATCTGTCTTAAATGTTGAGAGGACTTTGAACATCCGTTTTATTTGTGATCTCCAGTAGCTGGGGGGGGTCCACACGTAGTAGCTGGTCTCTTGTTGTCGAATGTTAAAAAAGACACGTAGGGAAGAACAGATGAATCTCTGTGTAGGATTTCAGTACTCGTTATTAAACTGTTAGATTTGAAGTAATCGGTAAGAGCTGCAGCTGGATAACTGAGCTTTCAATTTATAACTTATCAATTATTTCACTGTATTATCTTCTTACGTTAGTAGGGCGTATCTCTAGACTAAATTTCTCTGAATAAATATTTTATAAGCTCTAAATCAAACTAGTTAGGCTGATATGTTGTGTATTTAAAACCTACAGATTGATTTAGTGCATTCTATCATTTTGTGACACTTCTACATTAAATATAACATGTAATGTTGAATATTAACTTGTTTTCAACAAAAAACATAACAATAATTTGTGTTTAAGTTGTATTGATAAGCATGTATGAAGCCTTTGACTGTTCGTTTAAGTTTGTTTAGAGAAGGATAGGTTGACTCCTTGAGGTTCTCAGAACGCTAAGGTTCAATAGCTCTAGTCTCTCGGTGGCATGCCACTCTACTCGAGTTCATGCAATCGTATCGCAGCTTATGGAGAATTGTCATTTCTTTACCTTTATAATATATGGTAGCTTAAACTGCTGCATTTCTGTGTAAAGTTGTAAGTTGAAAACCCAATTTTTAATCCAGTCAAAATAGTAAGCGTATCTTTGGCACACCTGTCAATTCTGAAGAGTGAGTATTAGGAACGATCGACCCCAAAAATTGTACATCCATACCACTTCAAAGAGACCATATGTGTGTGTGTGACCGGTCTCAAATAGTTGTCCCTCTGATCTCTACTGTCACGCAACACACTAAGGTCTTATCTGTTTCAAATGCTCCAAGAAATTAGTCAGTAAGCTAATATCTTTACTACAATTTTATATTGAAGTGTTAATTGTATATTTTTCTCTTATTGATTTTTTCATTCCCTCTTGTTTTATTTATCCTTTTCTTTTCACAGAATTCAGTTAAGTATTGCTTTTCCGTTGTACTTGTCGGAAATGATTCTAACTTTGATTCACTCATAAGTAAGATTTTATAGTGTCAATTCATTCTTTTCAAATCACTTCTGTTACTAGCTGGATATGAGTTGACTCTATTGAAATTCTCAGCAGAATGGTGTCATTTCAGTCAAATGTTAGCACCAGTCTTTGAACAAGCCTCAGAGAAAATTACAGAGTTGACTAAGGTAGACAGTCTTTTGTTCTAAGAGTGAATCATTTACTTTCCTTTAAATTTTGTAGAATGGTAAAGCTGCTTTCATTACAATAGACTGTGAATCAAGTCGTGAGTTATATGATTTACTATATATATATATATATATATATATATATATATATATATTAATATTCAGCGTTTACCTCCTTTAATACATGTTAGTAAAGTAGAAATAAACTGAATTACAACTAGTAGTTTTGAGTAGTTTAAGAGAGATCTGGACTTCTTGAATGATTTGTCTGGTATCACGCAAACTAGAAGATCCACAGAGGAGAATCACCAAACTGTCAGAAGAGGCAGCAAAGACAGGACTTTCGGAGAACATGTGGAAAAAAGAGGTCATTATGATAGCTAACCAACAACAATAAAAACAAAAACACGAGTCATTATCAATGGGAGAAATCTACAGGTAGTCACCATTTCCACTTATTATCTGAGTAGCATCGTTTCAACTGTATACGCAGACAGTACAGATGATGATGTCAAAGGTAGGATAGAGAAAGCGAGACAAACCTTTATCACTCTAAAATCAGTTTGCACATCTACTGCACTAAGAGTACAGATAACAATATCTCAATGTTTAACACGTGTCAAGTCAGGGTTTCTATATGGGGATAGGCCACAATGCAAGTTCAACACTCAAAAACTGAAGGACACAACCACAAAGGACACTTTCACTGTAACTGTTAGAGAAAAGCAGGAATCATTACGTGACATCATGGAAGAATCATGCGTGGAAGACCATCGGAACTCTCTGAAGGTGATTTTTAATGAAACCTGTTCAACGGTTTTAGGAAGAAAGAAAAGGTAAGATAAGGAATGGCTCTCTACGGACACTTGGAAGCTAATAGAGGAGAGAAGAATGGTGAAAGAGAAAATGATTCAATGCAAAGACGGACAAGAGAAGGAGACGCTGAGCTCAACTTACACAGCACTGGACAAAGAAGTGAAGAAGAGTCCTAGGAAGGACAAAAGACAATTCTACGACAATCTGGCCACTGAAGCTGAGAAGGCAGCAGGCAAAAGGGACCTGAGGACATTATATCAGATAACCAAGTCTCTATTCGGGAAGAGATCAACACAAGCGAAACCTATAAAAGACAGCCAAGGGAACCCAATTACCAAGGAAGAAAGACAGATTAAACAATGGGCGAATCACCTCAAAGGACTCTTGAACCGACCACCGTCCAGAAATACCAACAACAGCGCATACACAACTGCAAGTTGACACCAATCCTCTAACGAAAGCTGAAGTCTTGAATGCAATCAAGCTTCTGAAAGCTGGAAAAGCGGCTGGACCAGATGGAATACCCCCTTAAGCACTGAAAGCGGACCCAGAGACTACAGCAGACATGCTGACTCCATTATTGCAAAAAGTCTGGAAGGAGGGAAAGGTGCCTACTGACTGGAGGAAAGGTTACCTCGTGAAACTACCAAAGAAGGGCGACTTCGGCCTCACTCTGCAAGAACTGGCGAGGAATCATGCTCCTGTCGACGCCAAGTAAAATCCTGAGTCGCATCATCCTGGAGAGAATTAAGGACGCACTGGATACAGAACTCTGACCAGAACAAGCTGGATTCAGGAAAGGCAAATCATGTTGTGACCAAATTGCAACTCTACGCATCATCATCACAGAACAAAGCATGGAATGGCAATCAAACCTCTACCTCAACTTTATAGACATTGAGAGGGCCTTTGACAGCGTTGACCGTTAAGTAATTTGGAAATTACTCGAGTACTACGGCGTACCCAAAATATTCATCAACCTTATTCAACAGCTGTACGACAACGACATGTCAAGTATCCACAACGGAAACTCAGCGAGGCGTTTGGAGTAAACACAGGAGTCAGACAAGGTTGCTGGCTTATTATCACCAATGATATTCCTAATTGTGGTGCACGACTTGATTATGCGTCAGACAGCGAGTGGGAAACGAGAAGACAGGGATATCCTGGACCGACGTGAAGAACCTAGAAGACCTGGATTTCGCGCGTGGATGATTTGTGTTTGATGTCACTGTCACAAAATCGAAGACTTACAAGCGAAAACCGACCAAACTGGTCGAAGAAGCAGCCGGCGAAGACAGGACTCCAGGTGAACATAGACAAGACGGAGGTGATGAAAATAACCAACCAACCAACAACAGCAGCAACATTTGGCGCCAATCACACGGGAGGGATCTGAAAGAGGTCACTTCATTCACTCATCTAGAGAGCATTGTCTCAACTGCAGGAGGAGGGACGGACGAGGATGTCAAATCGAGCGAGAATCGGGAAGGCGAGAAACATATTCATCAACCTGAAATTAATCTGGAAATCTTCGTCACTCACCATCAACAACAAAATTCGGTCGGATTTTCAATACAAACGTCAAGTCAGTCAGTTCTTCTTTACGGATCAGAAACTTGACGGGTGGGTCACAAAGAATATTTCCAACAGCCTGTTGCAGACCTTTATCAATAACTGTCAACTATCGTTCTATACTGAAGATCAGATGGCCGTGCCGGAAACAATCACCAACAAGAAACTATGTCTGGGAACAAACAAAACAAGAACCAATCGCCGCCGAAGAAATATGCAGGAGAAAGTGGAGATGGATTGGACACTCGCTGAGGAGGCCACTGGGTGACATCGCGTGCGCGTCAGGCGATTGCTCGAGTGGAACCCGAAAGGGAAGCACGTGGCGAGTGGGACGTCAGTGCAAGGGTGACATGGAGGAGATCGTGTGAAGAGGAGTTGAAAGGGTATGGACTAACATGGATGCAGGTGAAAAGTACAGGAGAAGACAGAAACAAGTGGAGAGGTGCAGTTGAAGCCCTGTGTTGCACTAGGAACCCAAGGGAACAATAGTAACAATAATATGGTACAGAGACTTGATGCGTCACAAACCAACATAACCATATGGCTGCTTTCATGCTTGTTGGGATCGGTCAACATTGTGGTGTTTTCCGATTCTAAAGACTTAATGTCGTTTCGGAGATGTTTGTAGTAATATCTTTAGTTGCTGGTGTAGGCGATGTAGCTTCGAATCACTGGGGGGGGGGTCATCAGTCCCTTCGAGGTCACAGAAACGCCTTGCTAATGAATGCCAAAAGTGCACGAAGCTTAGATCTAGAGTTTTTTTGCGCATTACCTTCACAGTGCCTAACAACTTTTTAAAGTTTCTTAAAACGGCAATTCGTCTAGATCGATCACAAAATTCTGTTAACATCAACACAAAAGACTAGAAACATGATATTGGTCACTTCTTGATGATCTATCGATGTACTGCTGTATTTTGTATACGAATAAGTTCATATTTGTTCCAATTACAGCGTTAGTGCTATCTTGATATTATTATTATTATTATTATTATTATTATTATTATTATTACTATCTGCGTTTAGAAAAACAGCATATTGTAGGAAATTAGAGTTTCTGTAATAATACAACATCAGGTGCAACCTTTAATTAATCAATCAATCAATCAATATGTTGTACAGAAAGTGAAACTGTTCTAATTATCAAAAAAAGATACGAATTATAAGACAATTGCTGAATTACTTGCTAGAAGTATATTACTAAATGAATTGAGTAGTTAAATGCTATTCTTAACACAAATGAATAATATTCAGGCATTAGTTTGCAAGGATTTGATCGGTTACAGGATTTCATTATGAAAATGACATTGGTACTGGAGAGTACTGCAAGGCTATTTCGTCCTAGTCTCTTGGGACTCTTCATCAATACACACCCACCACCGGGGTTGGAACTCAGGATCTTCCTGTAACAAGACAAGCCAGGTTGTAGACCATTAAACCACTGGGACCCAATCCAAAGGCCAATCTATGAACTCCAACTTTTGCCAGTTCACGATGTAGCGTGACCACCAGCCAATGCAAACCAACACATGAATATCAATCTAATGCTCACCTGCGACTGGCCCCATTCAAGTCGGTAGTTACCTGGGTTCTAGTGCAACCAGCGGGGTACAGCAGGTTGGATGTGAGGACAAATACTCACCACCGATGACACCGACCAGCGGGCGCGCTATATGGTGAATTGACAGAAGGTGTAATTCATGGGCTGGCCATTGGATTGGTTCCCAGTGACTAATGAATAGTCTACGAGCTTGCCTTGTAACCAGAAGGTCCTGAGTTCCAACCCCTGTGGTGAATGCATACTGATGAAGGGTCCCAAACTGGGAAAAAACAGCTGTCCAGTACTTTCAGGTTTTCCAATTGTCCTCCAACCGATGTCAGCTCATGATAAAACCCTGTAAACAAATGAAGAACTTTTCCCAATAGCCACACTAAAGTTGACTGTAAAACTATGTCTTATTAATCGGAAGATTTGAATACGAGTCAATTGGATCATTATTTGTTTAAGTCAGTTTGCATATATTCGATTCCAGTGTTTGGTCACCATCTACCAAATAACGTGTTAATCCCTCAGACATAGTCGAGAATTCCATACTAGTGGTGAGTACCTCAGTGGAGGCTGAACATTTTGGTTTAATCAGTCACAACTGGGAGAAGAAAATGGATTTAAACAAACACTAACCGATGCCTATTGCACAAAAGAGGTGACTGTTATGGCCTAGTAGATTTAATGGGTAACATTGACATTTGAAATGATGATCTCATTGGGGGTGGGGGGTGGCCACCATCAGTCATTGGGGATTGCAGATACATATTCAGAGGGCGAGTTTCAAATGGGACGAAATGTGTCTCCTGGATTCTACAGATAGTCATCATTCATTGAAAACAACTAAATCACTCACTGGCTTATAAAACTTATTACATTTCGTCAATTAACTTATCAATTTCGCAATGAATGTATACGGCATACATTGCACGAATCGTATTCCATATAAGATTCATCCTATATGTATATATGTATATATAGCATTGTTGCTTTCAAAATTGTTTTAATCTCCTGCCTTCAATATAATTTATTATGTTTCATTTACTTTTTTCTTCGTTTTCATCAACTTCACCCTGCCCCCCGTCCCTACGCAACACCTTCCGAAAAATCTCTAAACATCTAATTTAAAAACTATGGTAAATATGCCTTAGAGGATTTATGCAGTAAACACAATATCCGTAAATATCCTACAGTCAAAGTGACTAAATATGGTAAAATATTGAAACGTGAATATCGTGATCAACGAACTGTTGAAGCATTTGTGAAATTTGTTGAAGACAATTTAAAATTACCAGTCGATATTATTAATGGTAATCAAGCATCTCCTGATCGTATTCATGATGTAAGTTTCAGCGGTATATATATAGTTTTCTTTCCCTTCCCTTCCCTCTTTCTTTCTTTCTTTCTTTCTCTGTCTGCTTCATATGACAATTTATTATAACAATAATTATAATAAATACCCATTGAGGTATAGAAAAAGTGAAGACATTCAGCGAAGAGACTCTTTTTTTTCGACGGCGAATTCATTAACATAGATGTACAATCGCATTTGTGTATAATTATCTTTGTGTGTGTGTGTGTGTTTGTGTGTACATGAGGTTTGTCAGGTTTAGATAATTAATCAGGTAATACAAAAGTGATCTAATATAGAAAGAAGATTAATTAGACAGCAACTAAAGTAAAATTCAGTTAGTAAGTTAGATGACGTAATGTATGTAATTGACTAAAATGTTTCAACTTAGGTCAGGGTAGGAACAGAGAGAATTACAGGCAGAGATTGAGTAGAGGTGGGGCAGAGAATAATGCTATTCAATTTAGAACTAAAGTTGAACAAACAAGTCGGATGACGTAATATAAATGACTAGAGATTGAGCTTTGGTCAAGTCAGTAACAGTGGTAATCAGCTGTAGGAAATAAATCGGGTGCAGGTAGAAAACAGGAAAGTTGAAAATGTAAAATATTACAATTGAGAAGACAAATTAATACGAATGAAGTGACAGAAAGAGTGAGAGAAATAGAATTTACCTGTCGGATAATAAAATAGATTACGTTCATTGCAAGTGTAGTGATTGAACGAACTTCTTCTGTATGCAGAGTTCAGGATTTAGCAAGTGAATTACCATTGTTTCTGCAGTAAGAAGAAGTTTGACTCGTACACTTTTAGGAAGAATATATTAAATATATTTATTCCTTTCTATTTTATGTATCTGTACCGCATCGATATTTTTCTTTTTACTCCCTTCCTTTCTTCTCTCCTATTACGTAACAACAAAACACATACAATGTGTATATATATATATATATTGTTTAGCTATGGGTTAATAAAAGCAATGATAAAAATACTATATTGGCACTTGTCAACAATATGAAAGCGAAAAATTCTCATGTGGATATTTTCAAGAAAGTTGCCTCTATTGAACGAGATTCATGTGCCTTCGTTTTAATTTATAAGTAAGTTGATTCCTTTTTACTTTGCTTTTTCATTCGGGGTATTTTTTCTGAGAGAGAAAGAGGACAGCTAGTTAAGAATGTGTCTGCAGTCAAATTGCCTTTTTTTGGACTTGGGGTATTACCACTATGGTTATTATTACTATTATTTAAGTATTGGTTTTTCTAGGGATTGTGTTTTATTGGTTGGAGGGTTTCATCATGAGCTGACATCATTGAATCGTGTCCCAGTGGCTTAATGGTCTACAAGCTCGCCTTGTAACCAAAAGGTCCTGGGTTCGAACCCCTGTGGTGGGTGCGTGCTGATGAGGAGGCCCAAGAGATTAGGACGAAACAACTGTCCAGCATTATTATTGTTATTTTTATTATTCGTTCCTTGCATCTTGGGTGAACACATAGGACTTCATTAGTATATTTTTGATGTGGTTGTGTTCTCTGAGCTGGATAGTTAATTTGCGAAGCTTTCATCGCCCTACTAGGCGACATCTTCAGTGAATACTTCAATCTGTTGAAGTGAGCTTTAAGATTTCTCCACGAGTTTATTAGTCATCTCTCCTGATTGGTGGCCTTGGACGTGATTCGTCGTTTTTGTGTGTTTTCACACCTTCTAGGTTACTTGTATTGGGACTGATTGTTTCTTTGACCTGAACTTTGACCCTTTGTGTTTGAGATTTCCTTCTTATCGGTTGATAAATTTTGCCGATCTCGATGTGTCTATTGATTGATGATTCACTGGAATGCCAGCCAAGCTTCTAAAAATTCTCTATCATTCTTGTTGTTTCCTCTGTTGTCTAATATTTGAACGTTGTCCTAGTCGAATTGATGTCCGTGGTTGTCTGTATGTAGTGATATGAGGGAGTGGATAATCATGTCTTTTGACGGCTAGCTTATGTTCGTGTTCATTAGTGTGTCTTTATTGGTTTCAAGGTTGCTCGTAAGCTTTCATTTCCACTTCACACGATCTTCAATGTCATCCTTGGTTACCCAACCCATCCCGAGGAACTCAAACAAATAGAACTTACTTTGCTTAGCTTAATGATTAGAGAAAATTTATTTTAAATTAAGTTTCACAGTGTTATACAGTAGTAATATTTATTGATTACCTTTCGAGCACAATTCGCTGCTCTTAATCATATCAAGGTAATTAGGAGCATTAAATTGTGCTCGTAAGATCATCAGTAAATATTATTACTGTTAGACTTTATTAAAATGAATTTTCTTCATAATCGAATTCTACTCTACCGCCACAGTGCCCAAGTTCTATTCCTATATTAACGACTGAAGACATTTCGGTTTAATACTTTATCACTTCTATTGATTACAACCTTGTTCTACGACGCGGTTGAGTTATGTGTTACTCATACAAAGCTACCACCAAACACCTAAGCGTAGTTAGACAGAAATATCAATATGATAGAGGAGATTTGTAGCTCAGGTGCATGATTTTGATGTGGTTGTGTTCTCTGAGCTGGATAGTTTATTGACGAAGCTTTCATCCCCCTACTAGGCGAAAACAGAAAAATAAAATGCCTAATGGAATCTTCTGATCACTCCATCAACTCTGCTATCCAATTCCTAGAGAAAATCAGAGGCATCCAAAAATAGATGAACAAGAAATAATGATATCCTTCGACGTTACAACATTATATACCTCAATCGGACAAAAATTAGCAAAAGAAACTATGGAACAAATACTTAGCAATGGCAAACACCTTCCACAACAATCAAAAATGCAACACACAAGCTGGATGGAATGCATAAAAGCATGCCTAACAACATACTTCCAATTCAAAGGCCAACATAATATATTATATAATATATATATATATATATATATATATATATGAACAAGTGAAAGGAACACCCATGGGATCGCCAATATCAGGTTTGATTACAGAAGCAGTGATGCAAATGCTCGAAAACATAATTCTACGAAATATCAAAACCAAGATTTGGATACGTTACGTCGACAACACATTTGTAATAATCAAAAGAAACAAGTTAGGTAAAACACACAACTTAATAAACAACGTCTTCAACGACATCAAATTCACAAGAGAAGAGGAATCCGAGAACGTCTTAGTCAAGCGAACAACCACAGGGTAATTAGAAACTCAAGTTTATAGAAAATCAACTCACACAGAACAAATTCAGAATTACAACAGCAACAATCCAATAGCACACAAAAGGAATTGCATACAAATACTATTCAATAAGGCAAGGACTCATTGCAGCACTCCCACCTTAAGGAAAATTGAAGAAAAGTATCTCATGGACGTCTTCCAAAAGAATGGATATCCACGAATTTCATCAAAAGACATATATCCCCAAGCCAACCTATCAAACCAAAAGTCCCCAAGGAAAGCACAAAGAAAATCGCCTTACCATATATAACGGATGTCTCAGAAATCACTACAAGACTCTTCAAACCTCTAGGAGTTGACGTCGTACACAAATCAACAAAGTCACTTCACTCAATTCTATGTCAACCAAAAGACTCAACAGCGAACGAAGATAAAACCAACATCATCTACAAAATAAATTGTAACAATTGCGAAAAACGCTACATTGGCCAAAGTGGACCTCCCTTTCGTCTTCGTATCCATGAACATAAGCTGGCCGTCAAAAGACATGATTATCCACTCCCTCATATCACTACATACAGACAACCACGGACATCAATTCGACTAGGACAACGTTCAAATATTAGACAACAGAGGAAACAACAAGAATGATAGAGAATTTTTAGAAGCTTGGCTGGCATTCCAGTGAATCATCAATCAATAGACACATCGAGATCGGCAAAATTTATCAACCGATAAGAAGGAAATCTCAAACACAAAGGGTCAAAGTTCAGGTCAAAGAAACAATCAGTCCCAATACAAGTAACCTAGAAGGTGTGAAAACACACAAAAACGACGAATCACGTCCAAGGCCACCAATCAGGAGAGATGACTAATAAACTCGTGGAGAAATCTTAAAGCTCACTTCAACAGATTGAAGTATTCACTGAGGATGTCGCCTAGTAGGGTGATGAAAGCTTCGCAAATTAACTATCCAGCTCAGAGAACACAACCACATAAAAAAGAAATATCAATTTATAAAGTCTTCGAATCTAGGTTTGCGTGGTGTATACTTACCTGGCTGAAGGTCGCATTACATATTCGGATTAATTGTTCTATATGTCGATTCCGATAATTGACATGGGGCTCGTTGGCTTAACTTCTTAGACTCTTGGGTTCAGATCATGCTTCGTGTACTTCAGCCCTTACCCTCACACAATAATTGCGACTCACATCTTGGTGTACATGGGAGAGTAGTCTTCTGGTGGACAGCAACAACAACATTGAGATTTGGATCTGCCTCTAAGATAAGACAGGTATACAAGACAGGCGATTGATAAAGCAGAGTGGGTTATCAATCTCCCAACGCATATATACTAAGTCCTACAGAAATAAGTGTATTAGAAAAGGGACTAAATTTCAACGTATCAGTAGACAAGTTGAAACCTGAGGATATCATCCCTAAAATAGAAATAGAACTAACTGAGATAGAGAAAACAATGGCTGACGAAGTACGGGCACAATGTGCGCTTACATTAAAACGAAAAAAATGTGGAAAGCCTAACCTGATCCAGTAAATAATACTGTTTCACTCACTGTGTGATACATCTAATAAACAAACTAATATGGAATTATTTACTACCACAGTGCCCAAGTTTTGCACATATATTAACGGGTATACCTTAGTTACCTAATGACTAATTCATGTGTATAGTTTGTGGTGTGTCCACCGGGTGAAACCCATGTTGCCTTGCGCATATCCTTGTGTTTGTACACGCTACCTCCAACCACCAAATTATTGGAAACGGGGAAGTTTAAGAGGAGTTCTCCGTTTTTACTCATATATCCGAGAGCCATTCGATCTATGAATAATTCTCTTCCTGCATTATCTGCTCCCAGTCTAGCATTCGTATCACCCATTAGGATATTGATTTAGCTATTCAAGTTCTTATCCATTACTGTTCACAGTTGCCTATGGAAATCTTCCTTCTCCTCTTGTTCTGCGTTGTTTGTGGATGCGTGACATTGGATAATTGCAAGGGTTACTTCACTCTTTTTCGGCAGAATCTTGCTGTCATTATCCAGAAGGAGGAGACTCTAGTCCCTTCTGCATTAAAGCTTTGTGTACTGCTGGTGACATCATGATAGCCACTCACTGCTTGAGTGTGCTCTTGGTTGACGTTTGGGCGACTGGAGTAGAATACTGTCTCTCAAGTTAAGAATTTCGATGGTCCAGTCCACATCCATTCCACTTGCTTTTACAGATTCCTACCACTACTATACCATATATCTTCTCATTTCTTAGGTTACCTGAGCAACCTTCCCAGCCTCGTAAATTTTACGTACCCCCCTGTTCCCAATGCTTATTTTTGCTTTCATTAGAAGAAATCCGATTGGCCTGCTGACTTGCTTCCGGAAGGCTTTCACCAGTCCTCTGTATCATTTCGTCTCTCCGATTCCAGCGAAGAATAAGATCCTGTACAGAATACGTGCAATCATATGTGCTCATTATCTAGATCTGGTCTCAATTGCTTCATAGTCAATTCTTTTGAAGTCTGGAATAACTTGAATATAGGAAGAACGATAACATATTTGCAGGTTAATACGAACTCGTTTTATTTCGTCGTGGATTCTCTCCCTTCGAACTGCGTTCATCCTTAACAAAATCACACTAATAGTTGCAAAATGGTGTCTGAACATACTTTTTCTACAGTAATTTCAAGTTATAGATATAAAGTATAGGGGCAACATAATTTCAAAGATGATATCAGTAGAGACAGCTGTTTAGTGTTAAAAGGGTAACTGTTTATATAGTAATTAGACAAAGGGGGTACAGCTCAGATTCCACTTGGTAACAAGGATGGGCTAGAGACAAAATACACAATAGGACAACAACAGAGTGAATTTATACACATACTATGATGGAGAGTTCAGGAGGGT